CCTCACTGAGTTTTCTTACCCTCGCATAAACAGTTATACTGCCTTATTTCAAGATCATCCGTAGTTTCGGTTGACTCATTATCGCATGCATGTGATCGGTTTATGCACATGTCATGTTTCCTTCTAATACTGGAGTCCTAATATTGCATTCCAGATTTCGAACCAACTGTTGTACCATACCATTTCTTGGAAGGCTTTCATCAGAGTGACTGTGCAACAAACTTTTTATTTTATTTCGCGTCTCCTTGAAATCAAATTCTCGAGGAAAAGTGATTTCACCTGAATGAAAAAGTTTTATATATTACTTTGATTTGAATTATTAAGATGATATGCTTTATAAACATTTATATTCTTTTATTGGAAACTTACTGTTGTTAATGGAACTGAAATGGGCACGCATGTGTGTAACCTTGCCAGGTTTTAATGCTAACAGATCAGGTTTAACTGAATGGACCACTGGATTTGAATTTGCCGCCATTTTTTCCAAATTGACAAACTTTTGTCTTGTTTTTATAACGTGGCCATTAGTTGAGGGGCAATCAAAGGACTGTTTTCCGCCAATATTTCTGCCTACAAAAAACGGTAGATTTTGATTCTCTGCAGATTCATTAATTTCGTTATCGTCATAGGTGACGTGAAGACTCATTTCCGTACGTTTGTTTTGAATATTAAAATTTTAAAAATGACTGTAGATTTTGGGGACTTCCGTTTTTAATTTTTGTGCGAAATCCCAAATTTTTCAATAACATAAGATTTTTAGTACATTACATAGACCAGCTGAATTTTGAAGTTGTGTAGAGTCGAAAAAATATATTATGATTTCAGTAAAAACTTAATTCACAAGTAAACAAAAATGTTTCTGACATTTAACTGAAAGCTGAATACTGAGTTATATTTTTTGACAGCAAAAATTTGTTAAATCTTTTTTTATAAAAAATAAAATTTTACTACATTACCGTATTTCTCGTACTTCGATTTCTGTTTTATTATGTGGCCGTAATTCAATGGAGGCTTCGATTTAAACTCCCATAAAACTCCCATAATCCAAAGTGAAGTAATGGAAATTAGTTAGTCACATATAGAGTTTGGTGCAGTTCGACCCATCATTTGTTTCGTATTTTATACATCAGCTACTATACATTTTATACAGCTAATATTCTTACGAATTAAACTTACCGGAAAGAGAAATCAAAAACAATTTCTGCACAGCCAATGCAAAATCTCTGCGTATGTGTAGAATGGCCTAGTGTGTGTAGAAATAAAATCGCTTGAGTTGAGAAGTCCTCTTGTATTTAATGTTCTTGATATAACAAAGCTAAATACACGATGTGAGTCCTTGATAAATATACGCGAGATGTCACTTGTTCGATTTTTGTTCGCTTTGCTGCGAAATATATTTACTAGACCAAGTGAAAGACCTGCTGTTGATCAGCAGGCCGATTCCACTAATGACTATTGCTAAAACTCCATTCTCTTCGATAAAATTCTTAAATAAGCGATTTTTATTTTAAGAGAATTGTCCATCGTGTGATTCTGCCAACACAATATCTTCGCTAAATTTATCCGGCGATGTGTATAATGCTGAAATTTATTGAAATGTCAAAATAAAATCAAAAATGTAAACAAATATCAGCTGTTGGAATCATAATTTAAATTTGACATTTAGGAGCAGATACTGCGTCAAAAAAGTGTTCAGCTATTTGAAATTTAAATTAAAATAAAATTAATATAACATTGGTGCGTAGATTAATTAAATAATGGACTATTTGATAAGAAAGCGATTTTTTTTCTGCTCATATGAGAGATTCACGAAATATTTGCACATATTTAATAAGGGAAAAGTTATTAAATCGTACTTAATATATTTGATTCAACATATAGTTCTTACAGAAATATATTATTATTTTTAAATATAGATTTGGTTTAGTTTACATTCAGAATGTCGTGTAATTGCCAATCATTTCTTAACTTGATGCCGGTATGATGATCAGTACTCGATGAAGGTATAACTATTCAATCTTTATATTTTCGAGTATTCAGATAGAAGTTGTTCCCAAAATTGCTCTCACAGAGAACCGAAAAAGTTTCGTTACTAAAATTTACCAATATATGGTATTATATTGAAATATATTGAAAGCATTCCCGTCTAAATGGATCGCTATACCCTAATTTTTTCCCAATAAAATATGCTTTATATGAGAAATAGAAGTAGTGAAAACCAAATTTCATAATTAAAACAAATATTTTAGCTGGCGTGTAATGTATTTCAGGTTTAAAATATTCGCGGGTTAGTACAAAATAAGACTAGGACGTGACGAGTTCCGATAAGTTCATTGTTATTAGTAAATACCACCGAGTGTTTTCGTATCTGTGTTATGTTACGACCTCTTCGTATTTATAGTATGTAGATGATTTACTTTAGGTGTAATAGTTGATACCAGAGACGTTATATCTTAGTTTTATTAGCCTTGGAATTTCTAGTCTTGATCCTAAACGGATTTGTTAAATATTTTAGTTGGCATGTGATATATTTTATGTTCAAAATATTCATGGGTTTGTACAAAATAAGACAAGGACGTGACGAGTTCCGATAAGTTCATTGTTATTAGTAAACAACATCGAGTGTTGTCGTATCTGTGTCACGACTTCTCCAGAGACTTCATATCTTAGTTTTATTAGTCTTGGGACTTCTAGTGTTGATGTTAAACGTATTTGTTAAATAAATTCGTCTTTTTCTTGACACAAACTGGGTCCTCACTGAGTTTTCTTACCCTCGCATAAACAGTTATACTGCCTTATTTCAAGATCATCCGTAGTTTCGGTTGACTCATTATCGCATGCATGTGATCGGTTTATGCACATGTCATGTGGGTTTCCTTCTAATACTGGAGTCCTAATATTGCATTCCAGATTTCGAACCAACTGTTGTACCATACCATTTCTTGGAAGGCTTTCATCAGAGTGACTGTGCAACAAACTTTTTATTTTATTTCGCGTCTCCTTGAAATCAAATTCTCGAGGAAAAGTGATTTCACCTGAATGAAAAAGTTTTATATATTACTTTGATTTGAATTATTAAGATGATATGCTTTATAAACATTTATATTCTTTTATTGGAAACTTACTGTTGTTAATGGAACTGAAATGGGCACGCATGTGTGTAACCTTGCCAGGTTTTAATGCTAACAGATCAGGTTTAACTGAATGGACCACTGGATTTGAATTTGCCGCCATTTTTTCCAAATTGACAAACTTTTGTCTTGTTTTTATAACGTGGCCATTAGTTGAGGGGCAATCAAAGGACTGTTTTCCGCCAATATTTCTGCCTACAAAAAACGGTAGATTTTGATTCTCTGCAGATTCATTAATTTCGTTATCGTCATAGGTGACGTGAAGACTCATTTCCGTACGTTTGTTTTGAATATTAAAATTTTAAAAATGACTGTAGATTTTGGGGACTTCCGTTTTTAATTTTTGTGCGAAATCCCAAATTTTTCAATAACATAAGATTTTTAGTACATTACATAGACCAGCTGAATTTTGAAGTTGTGTAGAGTCGAAAAAATATATTATGATTTCAGTAAAAACTTAATTCACAAGTAAACAAAAATGTTTCTGACATTTAACTGAAAGCTGAATACTGAGTTATATTTTTTGACAGCAAAAATTTGTTAAATCTTTTTTTATAAAAAATAAAATTTTACTACATTACCGTATTTCTCGTACTTCGATTTCTGTTTTATTATGTGGCCGTAATTCAATGGAGGCTTCGATTTAAACTCCCATAAAACTCCCATAATCCAAAGTGAAGTAATGGAAATTAGTTAGTCACATATAGAGTTTGGTGCAGTTCGACCCATCATTTGTTTCGTATTTTATACATCAGCTACTATACATTTTATACAGCTAATATTCTTACGAATTAAACTTACCGGAAAGAGAAATCAAAAACAATTTCTGCACAGCCAATGCAAAATCTCTGCGTATGTGTAGAATGGCCTAGTGTGTGTAGAAATAAAATCGCTTGAGTTGAGAAGTCCTCTTGTATTTAATGTTCTTGATATAACAAAGCTAAATACACGATATGAGTCCTTGATAAATATACGCGAGATGTCACTTGTTCGATTTTTGTTCGCTTTGCTGCGAAATATATTTACTAGACCAAGTGAAAGACCTGCTGTTGATCAGCAGGCCGATTCCACTAATGACTATTGCTAAAACTCCATTCTCTTCGATAAAATTCTTAAATAAGCAATTTTTATTTTAAGAGAATTGTCCATCGTGTGATTCTGCCAACACAATATCTTCGCTAAATTTATCCGGCGATGTCTATAATGCTGAAATTTATTGAAATGTCAAAATAAAATCAAAAATGTAAACAAATATCAGCTGTTGGAATCATAATTTAAATTTGACATTTAGGAGCAGATACTGCGTCAAAAAAGTGTTCAGCTATTTGAAATTTAAATTAAAAATAAAATTAATATAACATTGGTGCGTAGATTAATTAAATAATGGACTATTTGATAAGAAAGCGATTTTTTTTCTGCTCATATGAGAGATTCACGAAATATTTGCACATATTTAATAAGGGAAAAGTTATTAAATCGTACTTAATATATTTGATTCAACATATAGTTCTTACAGAAATATATTATTATTTTTAAATATAGATTTGGTTTAGTTTACATTCAGAATGTCGTGTAATTGCCAATCATTTCTTAACTTGATGCCGGTATGATGATCAGTACTCGATGAAGGTATAACTATTCAATCTTTATATTTTCGAGTATTCAGATAGAAGTTGTTCCCAAAATTGCTCTCACAGAGAACCGAAAAAGTTTCGTTACTAAAATTTACCAATATATGGTATTATATTGAAATATATTGAAAGCATTCCCGTCTAAATGGATCACTATACCCTAATTTTTTCCCAATAAAATATGCTTTATATGAGAAATAGAAGTAGTGAAAACCAAATTTCATAATTAAAACAAATATTTTAGCTGGCGTGTAATGTATTTCAGGTTTAAAATATTCGCGGGTTAGTACAAAATAAGACTAGGACGTGACGAGTTCCGATAAGTTCATTGTTATTAGTAAATACCACCGAGTGTTTTCGTATCTGTGTTATGTTACGACCTCTTCGTATTTATAGTATGTAGATGATTTACTTTAGGTGTAATAGTTGATACCAGAGACGTTATATCTTAGTTTTATTAGCCTTGGAATTTCTAGTCTTGATCCTAAACGGATTTGTTAAATATTTTAGTTGGCATGTGATATATTTTATGTTCAAAATATTCACGGGTTTGTACAAAATAAGACAAGGACGTGACGAGTTCCGATAAGTTCATTGTTATTAGTAAACAACATCGAGTGTTGTCGTATCTGTGTCACGACTTCTCCAGAGACTTCATATCTTAGTTTTATTAGTCTTGGGACTTCTAGTGTTGATGTTAAACGTATTTGTTAAATAAATTCGTCTTTTTCTTGACACAAACTGGGTCCTCACTGAGTTTTCTTACCCTCGCATAAACAGTTATACTGCCTTATTTCAAGATCATCCGTAGTTTCGGTTGACTCATTATCGCATGCATGTGATCGGTTTATGCACATGTCATGTGGGTTTCCTTCTAATACTGGAGTCCTAATATTGCATTCCAGATTTCGAACCAACTGTTGTACCATACCATTTCTTGGAAGGCTTTCATCAGAGTGACTGTGCAACAAACTTTTTATTTTATTTCGCGTCTCCTTGAAATCAAATTCTCGAGGAAAAGTGATTTCACCTGAATGAAAAAGTTTTATATATTACTTTGATTTGAATTATTAAGATGATATGCTTTATAAACATTTATATTCTTTTATTGGAAACTTACTGTTGTTAATGGAACTGAAATGGGCACGCATGTGTGTAACCTTGCCAGGTTTTAATGCTAACAGATCAGGTTTAACTGAATGGACCACTGGATTTGAATTTGCCGCCATTTTTTCCAAATTGACAAACTTTTGTCTTGTTTTTATAACGTGGCCATTAGTTGAGGGGCAATCAAAGGACTGTTTTCCGCCAATATTTCTGCCTACAAAAAACGGTAGATTTTGATTCTCTGCAGATTCATTAATTTCGTTATCGTCATAGGTGACGTGAAGACTCATTTCCGTACGTTTGTTTTGAATATTAAAATTTTAAAAATGACTGTAGATTTTGGGGACTTCCGTTTTTAATTTTTGTGCGAAATCCCAAATTTTTCAATAACATAAGATTTTTAGTACATTACATAGACCAGCTGAATTTTGAAGTTGTGTAGAGTCGAAAAAATATATTATGATTTCAGTAAAAACTTAATTCACAAGTAAACAAAAATGTTTCTGACATTTAACTGAAAGCTGAATACTGAGTTATATTTTTTGACAGCAAAAATTTGTTAAATCTTTTTTTATAAAAAATAAAATTTTACTACATTACCGTATTTCTCGTACTTCGATTTCTGTTTTATTATGTGGCCGTAATTCAATGGAGGCTTCGATTTAAACTCCCATAATCCAAAGTGAAGTAATGGAAATTAGTTAGTCACATATAGAGTTTGGTGCAGTTCGACCCATCATTTGTTTCGTATTTTATACATCAGCTACTATACATTTTATACAGCTAATATTCTTACGAATTAAACTTACCGGAAAGAGAAATCAAAAACAATTTCTGCACAGCCAATGCAAAATCTCTGCGTATGTGTAGAATGGCCTAGTGTGTGTAGAAATAAAATCGCTTGAGTTGAGAAGTCCTCTTGTATTTAATGTTCTTGATATAACAAAGCTAAATACACGATGTGAGTCCTTGATAAATATACGCGAGATGTCACTTGTTCGATTTTTGTTCGCTTTGCTGCGAAATATATTTACTAGACCAAGTGAAAGACCTGCTGTTGATCAGCAGGCCGATTCCACTAATGACTATTGCTAAAACTCCATTCTCTTCGATAAAATTCTTAAATAAGCGATTTTTATTTTAAGAGAATTGTCCATCGTGTGATTCTGCCAACACAATATCTTCGCTAAATTTATCCGGCGATGTGTATAATGCTGAAATTTATTGAAATGTCAAAATAAAATCAAAAATGTAAACAAATATCAGCTGTTGGAATCATAATTTAAATTTGACATTTAGGAGCAGATACTGCGTCAAAAAAGTGTTCAGCTATTTGAAATTTAAATTAAAATAAAATTAATATAACATTGGTGCGTAGATTAATTAAATAATGGACTATTTGATAAGAAAGCGATTTTTTTTCTGCTCATATGAGAGATTCACGAAATATTTGCACATATTTAATAAGGGAAAAGTTATTAAATCGTACTTAATATATTTGATTCAACATATAGTTCTTACAGAAATATATTATTATTTTTAAATATAGATTTGGTTTAGTTTACATTCAGAATGTCGTGTAATTGCCAATCATTTCTTAACTTGATGCCGGTATGATGATCAGTACTCGATGAAGGTATAACTATTCAATCTTTATATTTTCGAGTATTCAGATAGAAGTTGTTCCCAAAATTGCTCTCACAGAGAACCGAAAAAGTTTCGTTACTAAAATTTACCAATATATGGTATTATATTGAAATATATTGAAAGCATTCCCGTCTAAATGGATCGCTATACCCTAATTTTTTCCCAATAAAATATGCTTTATATGAGAAATAGAAGTAGTGAAAACCAAATTTCATAATTAAAACAAATATTTTAGCTGGCTTGTAATGTATTTCAGGTTTAAAATATTCGCGGGTTAGTAAAAAAGACTAGGACGTGAGAGTTCCGATAAGTTCATTGTTATCAATAAATTACCACTGAGTGTTTTCGATCTGTGTAGTACGACCTCTTCGTATTTATAGTATTAGATATTTACTAGTGTAATAGTTATAACCAGAGACGTTATATCTTAGTTTTATTAGCCTTGGAATTTCTAGTCTTGGATCTAAACGGATTGTTAATATTTATGTGGCATGTGATATATTTTATGTTCAAAATATTCACGGGTTTGTACAAAATAAGACAAGGACGTGACGAGTTCCGATAAGTTCATTGTTATTAGTAAACAACATCGAGTGTTGTCGTATCTGTGTCACGACTTCTCCAGAGACTTCATATCTTAGTTTTATTAGTCTTGGGACTTCTCGTGTTGATGTTAAACGTATTTGTTAAAATAAATTGTCTTTTTCTTGACACAAACTGGTCCTCACATTCTACCCTGCATAAACAGTGATACTTGCTTATTTCAAGATCATCCGTAGTTTCGTTGATCATTATCGCATGCATGTGATCGGTTAATGCACATGTCATGGTGGGTTATCCTTCTTAATACTGGAGTCCAATATGCATTCCAGATTTCGAACCAACTGTTGTACCATACCATTTCTTGGAAGTCTTTCATCAGAGTGACTGTGCAACAAACTTTTTATTTTATTTCGCGTCTCCTTGAAATCAAATTCTCGAGGAAAAGTGATTTCACCTGAATGAAAAAGTTTTATATATTACTTTGATTTGAATTATTAAGATGATATGCTTTATAAACATTTATATTCTTTTATTGGAAACTTACTGTTGTTAATGGAACTGAAATGGGCACGCATGTGTGTAACCTTGCCAGGTTTTAATGCTAACAGAT